CCGTAAGTTACAAAATTTCTCACTAGAAATTTCACGCACCGGTATATGAAAGCTGAATTTGGAACCCTGAGCGGTAGATGTCCTTCCAAAATTTCAATTTTCCAATTTTATGGCTATCGAGTAAATTTCACATCAAAATTTTTGCGTGGACACATATGAGACATTCGGCATACTTGTGGACTAAATTTGTGTTTGTAGGGCCTCTGCATGGGCAGAAAACATCCTCCTGAAACTTTCATTCTCCTAGCTTTTATAGTTCCTGAGATAACTTCTCCTCCAAAATTTTCACGGAGCCAGATGTGATATCCAAGTACGCGGGAGGGCTGAATTTATATTCGTGAGGTCTTACTTACGCAGGTGTTTTTAACGCAGTATTTCAGCTTTCTAGCTTTTGTAGTGCCCGAAATAATTTCCCTGCCAGAACTTTCACGGGGTCATACGTAGCATTCAGGGGCAGGGAAAAGGCTGAAACTAAATTTGGGCGGGGATACTCGCTTTTTATATAGGCGGGAATAATTTTTAGCTTTTTAGCTTTTGTGTTTCCCGAGTTAAAAATTGCGGACAACATGCATCGCACAGGCCCACACACACACACGCACACACACACGCACACACGCACGCACACACATACACACACAGTCCGTGACAATATGCGTTTTATGCAGCTGTATAATAAAGTTAAAAATATGCATGAGGCTAATGGACGACAATCTGGAAAATACTTTGAGACTCTGTGTCAGTGATATAAATCCAGATTTCAACAGTCCTATGTCAAAAGTTGAAGTTCAGAGTCCACTTTCACTTACCCTTGTTTATTTCCTTTTCTGGATGAACAACCTTTTCGGGAAAGAGTGAACTCTGTCACCCACTTTCAATTCAGCAATCGGGGTAGCCATGATGCAACACTAGCGTCCCGGCCGACGCCCTTTTCCCTCGTACGCAAAAGAAAAGACCAAAACGAGCACATTTGTAGCATGTGTTAAACTGTAAAGCAGCAACCATTCATGCTGATAACGATCTGATTAGCGCAAAAACGCATAATCATATAGGCAAGCCCAGTGCGTTGCTACCTGGGTTTTATTAAAAGGTGGCCTGCGAGCTTAAGTAGGGATGTAAATCAGGCTCGCGTGCCGTCAAAGGTTGCCCATGCTTGCTTTGGAATACCACTTCTTCCTACGTTTCAGGTGTTTGTGGGTAGTTTCACTCCAGTGTCTGCCGATCAAGTGCCGGGAGAAATGGAGGAGCTCGTTAAATGGCTAAACGACGAGGACACGATGTTGTTGGACCCCGTCGAACGGGCTGCAATTGCTCATTATAAATTAGTTCGTTTTCAATCTGTTCCACTTTTTCTCTGTTTTTGCGCATTTTTTCCCTCCTTGTGCGTACTTTAAATTGCATTTAACTCGGAATCTCGTTTGAAAGTGGGTTTCTTGCGTTTAGCAAGATTTTTCAAAGCATTCCTCTGCGTTTACCGGCATAAAAGTCGGCTCGTCTCGACTCTGCCGAACAGCGGAACATTTTCGTTTCTTTGCTATGAGATGGCACAGCTGTCATGGGTATCCTTTCTCCAGGCTTTTCGGTAACTTCTCCCTAATGCTAGGTGATGTTCTTCGAGCCCTGAATAACGTGGGCAGAAAGGGAGGATAGTGTGGTGCTTGAGCTGCAGGGACTGTTGGTAAGAGAAGGGCTGGAATAATCAACTACTGAATCTCGGCCTTGTAACATGTGTGCAAAATGCATTCGTTTTGGGTTAAGGATGAATAAAAGCAAATATGAAACCAAAGCGAGTGAAAATTGTCCTATAAAAGACTACCATTAGTAGGAGACTTCCCTATTTATAACATCCATGGTTAGGTGAAGCTGCGAACGAATAAGTTTGATTAGATTTACACAAAAATTCCATTATGCTGCGTTTAGTAACGAAAAAGAAAAGGATTCCTCATTTGTGACAATAACGTGGGATAAAGCTGAGGAGCAATAATATGCGATTTTTTTTACGAATGTTAGGGACAGAAATGTAGGATATCAACAGAGCAAAAAGAGGGATGATGTCATGAGGATGATGTCGGTTTTGCTCCTTTGAGATTTTGTGGGGGGGGGGGGGGGGGGGGGG